TAGGTTGCCAAAGGCCACTGAATTCTGTCTGCTCCTGAATGTATATGGCATCACAATGTTCAACTAGTAGGTTAAAGAACAGGAAAAAGACACAAACTAATCAGCCTCACTAAAACTTTAGTCTGCAGAGCTTTACATACTAAAATGGAAACTCTGACACTAAACATAAAATTTGCGAGGGTCATTATTTCAAAATATTAATTCTCTGAATATCACGTAAATAAATAAAAATTATTTCCAAAAAACTTGAGAGGCACAAGATCTCCCTCAAGTAGGCTCTGATTTCCTCTGTCAGCAGTTTTCATTCTTAAAGCCACAACACAAACCCAAGAACTAGCAAGCCATCTCACTGAAGATAAAATTTTGGTCTGTTTCAAATTGAATAGCCTCACCTCATTTGCATTCTGCAACAGGGTATTAAAGGTGTCTAAATAAAGATGTCTTAAAGACACAGAAATAAAGATACAAGTTAACATTTGGTAATTGAAGAGCAGATCAGCCACTGGACCCAAAGACACCCACATTAAAGTAACTTGATTGCCAGGGGTTGGCCCTTCACGCAGCCTGGTGTAGACACAGCTCCACAGTGAAGAGAAGCTTGCACCACACACATATGCAGGATGCTTTTGTTGAAGCACCCAACTATAAATATAGGAGCCTACATTTCAGGAAACATCTCTGAAAACATGGGCATAGGTGCCCAAACTGTTTTGTTATTAAAGAAACATACTGTATCTTTATAGCAATCATCTATGGGACCCCTGCTTAACAATACAATATTCAGACAGTTAAATATTCTCAAGCAAGGGGAAAGCACTGATAGGATAGAATCAGTATTGAGACTCAAAGAGGAAAACAGTGAATTCCTGCAAGGAGAGAACTGCTGCTTCTGGCTAGTCATTTGACCTCCCCAGCTCAGGTTCTTTTAGGCACAAATATCAAAGGTTAATTCCAATGCTTACTAATGGATCAAAGCATCACCTACTTCACACAGCTGTTTCTTTGCACCTTCACTTATTTCACAGCCTTTATCTGTACATTAACGCTAACAATCCCTTATCAAAATCAATTTAAAACTTCACTTTGCTTTGAACTGATAGATCCAATTATACTTCAGTGGCTAAAATAGAAACTGGCACAGATCCACACATAGCAGTTCCATCTCCAGTGTGAAGCAAAACCAATGCTAAAAAGTATCTCAGACATCAACCTTGGATAGCAAAAGTGGAGAAAAATTACAGAGGATATGGAAGATCTTTAAACTAGCTGCCTCTAATTAAGCAAAGGAGCGTGTGCTGTAAAGGCTAGTTACAGTCAAACAGGGCTGTTGGGGAAACAACCAAAGCTCGTTCCATTGACACTGCTCATTACAAATTACAACGGTGACCGAGACCGATATTACCACAAGGCACCAAGCCACATCTTTCATTTCTCTTCAGTGTCTGTCTTCTACATGATAAAGGCCTTCAAGATCAGCAATTAAGGTATCTGTACTCCTATATCCTGCCCCTCTTCACTTTAAGCCCCTTGCCTGCAGCCTGAGTGACCTCTGAGCTGGTCACAGAGGCTGCCATTGCTAGCCCTGCCCTCCCTCCACCTCCAGACATCCCTCATTTCAGCAGCAGAGTGAATGCAGTTGCAAAATGATTCCTCCCACCCTGAGTGACAGCAAGGAGCAAGTATGCAACAAGGAGCAGGAACCTCCCCTTCCAGGAGCATCAGGAATTGCTAGTTTGTATACTGGGAACAGACAAATGTGTTTTCTATTAGAATCACCAAATTTTATCTCTGGAAGATGACTGAACTGCTTTACGGATAAGGAAGCAGCCTCAGCGTATGTGCAGGCAACCAGGCAGTCACTCAGCGAGGCAGATCAGCTTGTACAGACATGTGAAAACCAACAGACTCATTTGTACCATCAGTCAGTTTTGGGGCAAAACAGGGAGCAGATCTGACTCCCAGCGTGGTAGCCACTCACTAGTGCTGACAGAGGAGGCAAAAGCAGGACAGTGTCAGCATGAAGCAGAGAGGACAACTATTCCTTTCAGCAGCTGCCCACAGTTACCTACGTTAAGCTTAAGATGAAACTGCATCTTTAAATCCCAAGAGAGGTGGATCTAGGAAAACCCCTGTTCTGTCAGCAAAACTCAGCTCTTTGACATGCAATCAACATAAGGTTGAGATTTAGAGATACAGGCATGTACCCTGACCTTCTGTAAATCAAAAAAGATCTGAAATCTACACCCTGTTTGGGATTGATACACCTTCATTCTCCTCACCTATTTTTCTCTCACTTCTTGGACTAAAGAAAGCAGAAAAGGAGCCAATAGCTCCAGTGCTAAGGAACTCCTGGGAATGGGGAATCAGCCTTGTTGCCCAATATGAAGAATTAACAGTTGGTTGGAAATCTGTAAGCCAGTCTCACAAAAGGTACAGGCAGAGAAAGAGAAATAGGGAGAAGGGGAGAAAACAAAACTTGCTGGATCCCCTCAGATAACAGTTAACGCTGCAGTTATATAGAAGATTAAGAAAAAGCATTGCAGAAGCATCTGACAGTTCCAGCACTCCGAGAGCAAGTGAAATGAACTGTTCACCTTAACTACACCTTCCGAAAGGGACCTGCCCACTTTCTGGACATGAAAGGATTTAAATTACATCAAGAAAAACAATTTGCAAAGACATCAACTCTGTTTGAGGAAGGCCTTGAGATGCAGGCTAGAGGAACCTCAGGAAGACTGAGAAAACAGTACCACACATTACTTCTACTTTACTTCTGTTCCCAGGACTTTCACTATCAACCACCATTAGAAAGGACAGGATGGGCCAGGCCCACCCCCCTAGTCATCTACCCCAACAATGACACCACTGAGCAATCAAACGGCCACCTCATTATGCCTGTCTTCACATGCTCCTACAGTCTGAGCTGTTGAGGTTTCTCACCTGCTGTGAGCTGAGCTAATCAAACTGAAGTAGCTTGAGAGTCAGCCGTGACTGCAAACATCTCCAAGTAATATTCCACGTTAGGTTGTTGTAATGAGCCTAATGAGAAAATTGAGATGACAGAGGAATGGCCCGACCCGTCATAGTTGTTATACATCACTCTCCTCTTACTTTCTAACGCTTGCAAAGCTGTGCTTCAGCTAGTGACCAGTCAACGTTTTTAACATTAGTTTATTGTATCTTTATATAGCAGAATGATACATGTGGCTATTAAAAGGAAAACATACAATTCTGAAAAGGATGTCTACACATTTACCCTGCTCATATGATTCAAAGTATGAAGTGAAAGAGCACACTCACTAATGAAGAAAATTCAGTGGGGATACCATTACTTTCTATGGTAAAGAGACAAGGGGAAATGAGAGCTCACAAAATAATGAACAGCAGAGACATCCTGTTCTCACAAGATATCTATCTCTTTAGGCACAAAGCTAAAACAAGAGGTTGTAATGACAATAGTACTCTTTACAGTGTTCAGACATCAATTTTCCCTTTTCTACCATAAAACACCGTGCTGCAGTTTAATGTCCTGCTGCCATTTATCCTTCTCTTCCCCTCTGCTCTTCCTTGTCCTCTTCTTTTCCCTCACACAGGTTACTATGAAGCAACTTCAGGGAGACCCTGGCTCACTCTAACCATCTATTGCTGTGATACCTTTTAACAGACAGCTTCCAAACCACACTCAAATATTTAAATGCATTAAAATTCAAGATACAGCAGAGTACAAGGAGCCAAGCATTTAAAGTCAGCTCTTCATCTTTCAAGCACTGGTGGTTTTTCTACAATCAGAAGGCAGAAAACCCACAAATTTTAAAGTGTCTACTCCAAGAGCTGGCAGCAGAGAAGCAACAAGCCCTGTCTGACCAGAACTGACACAACCCACGTGGATGCCCCTGCGCTGCTGTGAGCACGCCGAGTTCAAAGACAGGTTATTAGCCAGACACAGCACGTCTTCAGTACAACAGTGTAGCTCAGGTGATAAATCCACAGCCCAGTGCATGTCAAATGGCTCTGCCTGGCTGGGCTTCCTGGCTTCTGCTCAGCATCAGCCCTCAAGAGCCTTCTCCTGTAGAGCTGCATCAAGATCTCTGCCCTGTAAATCCCCATGGTGACCATTCCACAAGGATCAAGTCTCACAACAAATACAACAAGTCTGCTCACAGGCTGGGCAGTACCTCCCAGAAACAACGCTGCTGGGAGCCCACTGTGGATGGGCACTGACTGTGCACAAAGGTAGCATGGGAGAGCAGGATTCAGCAGCCTCACACCTGAGACAATGCACCTAAGCCAGTAAACTTGTCTAGACCTGAGCTTCTTTCTCAGCACCAAGCCGCTCTTTCTAAGCCTCCATGGCACTGTTAACACGTTCGCCCCAATAAATCACCAAAGAATAATTGAGATTTACTCACGTTTGGGGAATACAACACCCAGGGGGCTGCTAGAAACAGCAATCAAGCTGGAAGGTCTGAGAGTCTTTCCTCTTATAAACTAGAGACCAAAGAGTTCTGATCTGGACTTTTTCCTCCACTGCATTTCATATGATTTTAAGCTTACTGAAACACCCTAGGGATTTTCCCTACAGCACAGTTGTTAATCAGGTCTTACTCTGTGGGTCATCCCTACTGCAGACATAACAAGTGCAGCGCTGAAAATCAGCATGACATGTGGACAAAGAGATAACAACAAGGAAACCACCACGTGGGGACCAGCTGAGGCTCTTGTTCAATTCAGTAACTATTTTCAAGTTACAGAAAGTGTTGTTCTAGAATTCAGCAAAAAATGTGATCAAATTAAACACTGACTCATCTACTTAGATATTTTTGCTACCAAGCTACTACCACCCATGTGCCACACATACTGCCTCAAAATTACCCACCTCCTATAATTTTCAGATTTACCCTGTTCTGACGGAAATTAAGAGATAGCTCAGACTGCTGAGTGTTTCTTTGTTCAATTGACATTTTGGGCTAGATACCTGTGATTTAGAGTTATGAACTTACTGTTTACAATGTCACCTTGCAGCTGAAGAATTTGTGGAACAGGCATTGTAAGAATAACTATATCAAACTGCTCTGGCAGTCCCATTTTCCTGGACACTTCCCATTTCCCATCTTGGAGACAGATGTGAGTTACATGTTGTTCATAGAAGACATCTGCACCTGCTTGGAAAAAGAAATTGTTAGATACATGTAACAGTGAATCCTACAGAGAAAAGGCAGAGTAGTTTCCCTTAGTAACTGGATGACTTGCAAACAGCAAAGCAGACAGACAGTCCTAGGGCAAAGTTTCACAGATCAGGCTGAACCAACAGCCAGCATATGACATTAAAAGAGGGGATCCTCATTAGCTTAAAAGATCCCATCACTTCCCTGTGCTAGGGCTGGTATTCATTTGACTCCTTTCTGAATGATTCAGTTCAGTAAACAGATGGAAAACTACCAGCTGCTCGCTTTGTCAGGTTAGTTTACTGTGGCTTTAGTGAGCTGAACCAAGTCAGAGTAAAATCTGATGAGCACAGGAGGTGGCAGAGGGTAAGCAAGCAAAGCACACCCCCAGGAGCCAAAAAAGAGAACATTGCTCCCTTATCATCTCTCATAAATCAGAATACAGGAATGCAGTCAATTATTTGCAAGACTGGGATCTAAAAAAAAAGACATCACATCATGGGAGCAAAGCTTGACTACTCATAAAGCTAACATTTTTGAAACCAGTTAGTCACTAAACTGTACGAGTGGTTCTGCCACGTTACACCTAATGCAGTAGTTACAGTTTAAACTAGCAAATGATCTTTTCTAAAAGACCTTCAACACAATAGGCTCATATACAGCACAAGCACTCATTTCTACGAAACATGATATGTAGCTCACCACTGTGTTCCCAGTTGCTCAGTTAATCACAGTTAAGTACACACTCATGAAACACTCACTTCATTCAGGTTGCGACTCAAAACTCTTCTCAACTGTGATCTCACACCCACTAAACTATCTCTGTCCTAACTGTGTTAGGTCCAACCTTCATATGCTAAAGCCAACAGTGTAAAATAAGCTTGGCCCCTGATCCTCCAGATGCTTTATTTGTGTAGAAACTTTTATATGTCAGCAGTTCTGCTGAAGTCAGTGAAGTGCTTGCAGGACCTGTAAATTCATAGAGCTCCCAGACACGTTTATCCATCTAAGCAACTTCAAGACATGCATAAACAAACAAGAACTTGAACATTATCACTGGAGATTTAAATTTTAAAGACAGTTCAAGAATGCCATCAAAAACACAATCATTAAAACCTTTCATTTCATACAAAGGCATCTAAAAAATTACCTGACTGTTTTAAATAATACTTGACAACTGAGGAGATGCCCTGGGGTGCCATGTAATTGCACAATCCTTCTTTCACTACCATTCCTTCAATGGGTGCAGTCAGCGGTTTCAAGATGCCGTGATACAGAAGTTCCTCATAGAAGCTTAAAGGGAACAAACGACATAGATGAAAATACACTCTGTGAAAACCAACAGTAGCTGTCATTTTTCACAATTAAAGTTAAGACCAGCCTAACTTTCAAATTTAGAGAATAGTTTTTAATGACATCATACAACCTGTGTTTCAAGCCAGAACCACAGCTATAAAACAAGAAACTACCTCGCTATCATATTGAAGGCAGGCCTACACATGAGGCCAGGGCTACCTACCGTGCCTGTAAGAGGAACCGTTAGCAGTTTGACAATGAAGGCTTCAGAACTAACCGTGGCAGGGGCACATACCACAGTTATTTAAAGCTCTGCGTATCAGTACAAACTGCATTGCCATCATGGGGCGCAGGAATGCTGGATGCAGGTGCCTTAAACACACCTACGTTTTCCCTGACTTCCACACAAATTTCACATTTTCACATCGCCATCCCCCTCCCCAGCCAAGGGTGAACCCTCCCGTGTACTCACAAGCCCAGGCAGACCCCACCATCACGGCGCTGCCCGTCCCCACAGTCGGTCACCGCCGAACCGCCGTGTCCCCACGAAGACAAGGCATCTCACACTTTTTCTTTCATACCTAGCTTTTCTGTCACCTGCAGAGCGCTTAGGCGACTCTGAGGCGCGTTAGCTCTTGAAAGCAAAGACCTCTGTAGATTTAAGCAGCGGGCCACACTCGCCTGCGTTTCCTGCGGTGGCAAGATAGGCACCACGGGTGAAACCGCCGAGCCCCGACACCCGCGCGACACCGCGTAACGCCTGTCTCTTATAATTGGCTGAGTACATAAGGAGCTGTGGCAAGCAACACAGTGTGCCTTGCACTGCTTCATGGTAGTGAAGGGAAAGGCAAAAAAGGAAAGGAGGGAGATGGAGAGAACAAAGGAAGAGATCACTGGTCTGGGTTCCTGCGTTGATCCTGCCAGTGAGGGTTGCAGGAGGCAGCTGTCTCCTTCAATTCACTGCACTCTCCAGGCCCCACCCCCCTTTTGCCCCCCCTCAATTTATCCTTGGGTCCATCCCCTAGGCCAACCCACATACCCATATATCCCATGGATGGGGAGGGTTAAGGTGTTTCAGGGGATGGTGTAATTAGCACAATCTTGTTAGTCTTCATTAGCATATTCAGGATGTTAGCTTTAATATGAATTTTGTGGATAATGAAGCAAAGGTCATTCACTGGACAGATGGCCCTTGGAACTTGTCCAGATGCCCCAGAGCAGAACTGTTCTGTCCCCACAGGGACAGGGCTCCCCCCTCCAGCCACATCCCGTGTTATTGGGGCATCCTGATTAGCTTCGACCTCCACACCATCCACCCCGGGACTGCAGTTTCAGTACTTGCAAGTGTTTGAGACATTCCTTAGGTCGGAGGTCCTCCACTCCCCCTACTAACTTTTGTCTTAAGCTCTTTTTTTCAGTCCATGTTTCTTGCAGGACTGTTTTTACAAGTCATCTCTCATACCCCATCTCACCCCTCTCTGCCCGCATCCCTCCTGCTCCCCCATAAGGGCAGCCAGTCCCCAGCCTGCGGCACCCCAGGCTGCCCATGGAGCAAGGAGCAGCAAGGAGCAAACAGAGCTGTTAAGATGACAGATCAGACACCATTAATTGTAAAAATTCAACTGATAATCCACCAGGACAGGCAGTTATGGACAGTGAAATATGTACTTGAAGAACTGATGTCTTGCCAAAAGACCTCTGCTCCCAGCGAGTCTTAATTGTGGGGCATCTACCTGGCACATGTCAAGTTTTGAGTAGCATGTAGCATTGGGTAACGATGCCTGTCCAACTCAATAAACTTCTGCAATGATGTGACTGGCCTGGCAGGTGAGGTGAAAGCAGTGGATATTGTCCTCCTGGACATCACTAAGGCCTTTGACACCATCTCCCATAAGATCCCCATGGGGAAGCTGTTGATGTCAGGGCTGGATGAGCAGGCGGTGAGGTGGGTTGGAAATGAGCTGAATGGCTGGGCCCGGAGGATGGCTATCGGCAGTGCAAAGTCTAATTTGAGACCACTGACCAGTGGTGTGCCCCAGTGGTCAATACTGGGTCCAGTCCTGTTTGTCATCTTCATTAATGCTCTGGACGTCAGGCACAGTGTACCCTCAGCAAGTTTGCAGATGACACCAAAGTAGGGAGACTGGCTGATACACTAGAGGGTCATGCTGCCATCCAGAGGGACATTGACAGGCTGGAAACATGGACAGGAACATCATGAAGTTCAGCAAAGGGAAGTACAAAGTCCTGCACCTGGGGAGGAACAGCCCCATGCACCAGTACATACTGAGGGCCACGCAACTGGAAAGCAGGACCTGGGGGCCCTGGTAGACACCAAGTTGAACATGAGCCAGCAGCGTGTCCTGCTGCAAAGAAGGCGAATGGTGTCCTAGGCTGCACTAGAAGGAGTGTTGGCAACAGGTCGAGGGAGGTGACCCTTCTCCCTACTCAGCACTGGTGAGGCCAGACCTGCAGTGCTGGTTCCAGTTCTGGGCTTCCCAGCACAAGAAAAAGTCCAGCTGGAGAGACTCCAGCAAAGCACCACTAAGATGATTAGGGCACCAATCTCACAAGTACCTGAAGGGAGGGTGCAAAGAGGACAGACCCAGGCTCTTCTCAGTGGTGCCCATGACAGGACCAGAGGCCATGGGCAAAAATGAAATTTTTTTGAAAGAGGTTTCCTCTGAACATCAGAAAACACTTGTTAACTGTGAGAACAACCGACCACTGGCACAGATTGCCCAGGATGGAGTCTCCATCCTTGAAGATATTCAGAAGCCATCTGGACATGCTCCTGGGCAACTGGCTTTAGGTGGCCCTGCATGAGTAGCGGGGGTGGGACAAGATGATGTCCAGAGGTCCCTGCCAACCTCAGCCAGTCTGTGACTCTGTGATAAGCTATCTCTGCCATGGGATTGACTTCATCCCAACACCAGTCATCCAGGAATGGTCTGGAACTGGGACTGATCCACCCTACTGAAAAGCTTCTAGCATAATCAAAACCTGGTCACCTGGAGGTGCTACCCAGTAGGAATTGCTGGGAGGTGTGACAGCTTCCACAAAGTGTCAGTGGGCTATCTGCAACACCCCAGAGTTTTCATGCAACCATGCATGGTACTACCTTGCATTTTGCAAGAAGCTATGGCTTGATGTTAGGAAAGTGGGATCTGGAGACTTGAGTAGATAGTGCTGAGGGGTGGTGGCATGTGTGCACCACCTCTGCCTGGGGAAAGATGAAATTCTCTTGACAATGGTGACGGAAGACATCTGCCAGGAGGTGACAATCAGAAGTTTCTAAGGACATCTTCATTGGCCTGATAATGCTGCTTCTTGGAACCCACAGGCAGGAGCTGAAGGATTTTCACCTGCTTGTTGTTGTCGTCTTTGCAGCGCTGCCCCTCCTCACCTTTAGCACACTGCCTGCTGTGTGTCCATAGCCACAATTGAGGAAAACGAGTTCCCACCCTGTCAGCCTTGAGCATGGGCAACTGGGGGAAGTATTTGGACTACTATCCTTACCTAGCTGCGTAGGATCACTGTGGTATGGGGACGCCACAATCTGACACGTTGGCATAGGTGTTCAGCAACAGTTTGATGTAAAGTCCCTTATGCAATGTAGAGCTGGTTGCACCTCAGCGACAGAGTTTACCTTCTGGGGGTGTTGATGATCCCCATCTTCAATGGGAGCTCTGAGCTGACCTCAGGGCAGATGTTGTTTAATAGGTACTACTTGGAGAGAGGTTGGAGCCTCTGTTTCCCCTTCCCATGTGAGTTGTGGAGCAGTCATGGAGGAGAACAAAAGAAGACTGACCCTCCAACATGTAAGCATGTGAATTCAGATTTGGTGGGAAGTTTTCTCTTCTTGTCACTGTTGCCCTGGGAAGAAGCATCAGGAGGTTATGTCCCCCTCCTCAGCACCTGCTGTGAACAGTACCAGTTGGCACCCTGCTTTGCACCCTGCCTGCTGTGGATCCCTTCCGACCCTCCTTCTCTGCGTGCACCATGCTGATGGCTCAGGCAGCAATTCAGAGCTGGCCATTCTCTTTGGACATCAGATGCCTAGGACACAGATGAGTCAAAGCTAAATTCACTGCGATGCTAGGGCTCAGGGCATCTCTGACTTTGCATTCAGCCTGACTCAGGAGCATGGGACGTCCTGAATGGAATTCGGTTGTAGCTCCTGTCTTCTAAAAGACCTGCTGGACTGCATGGTTGTACATCTGGCATTGGGCTGGGCAGTGGTTTGTCACTGCAATTTGCTTGTTTATTCATGAAAAGAAGATTTCTCAGACCTCATAAATGTTTGACCTCTGACCAGATGGTCTGTATGTTCAGTGTGCTTGGAACAGTTTATTGTACTGAATGGTTATCTGTATTGTCACGGTCAGCTTAATTTGCAAGAGAGTTGAATAGTTCTGCATTTTCTTGGTAAACTGTGGCCTGGTAAAAGTAGGTAGGAAGATAGTCATAGAAGAGTATTAAGACAATTAAAGAATTGAGGCCAAAAGAGAAATATCAAGAATTGACAGAATCTTTAGCAGTAATTTTATAGATAATATGATTACTAAATTTGAGCATGATGGGTGGTGAAAGCACCTGAAGAAAAACAGTACATTGCAATGGAAAAAGCTCTGTGCTCGCTGGTGAACATGTCAAGTGGACTGCAAGAGTGTTGCAAGAAAGGGCTGCATGAGTAGGGTGAGAACTCTTGGATGTATTATATGTTTTTGCTTTTGCCAAACTGTACATGAGCCAATAATGTGCTCTCACTGCAAAGATGGAGAACCATAGTCTGGGCTACAGGAGCAGACCAGTGGCCACTCAGTCTCCACTAGTTACCACCCCTGCTGTTCAGTGAAAGGGAGGCCACATTTGGATGCTAGGTCCAGTTTTGGTCTGCCTGGTGTGAGGGATGTGGAGACACAGGTGAGGCCCCATAGAGGATGACAAACTGGCAGTGACCCTCCAACAGGAGGTGGTCAGAGATGAGTTTATTGGGTCTGGCCATGGGGAGGCTGAGAGTGGTCTGAGAGCAGCCTGTGACTCCTCGGAGGGCAAAAGGTGTTAGAGTGAAATGCCTCTCTGTAATGGCAGGGGATATGATCAGGGAAAATATTGTTGCACCTTTGGACGTTGACACTAGACATGTGGAAATACTTCTTTCCCTGGGGAGTAGGGAGGAGCTTCGGGATGGTCACCACAGAGGTGGGGGATCTTCCAAAACTTGACTACTCAAAGCCAGGGCCAATCTGATCCAATACTGGGAACAGACTTGCTTCTAGTGGAACAGTGGATAAAGACACAATATCTGCCATTGGAAATTCATTTTAGATGTCAATCTTCCCTTGTAATAACTTAATTATTTATCTTATAATAAATAAATGAAATGGCCATTGAAATGTGAAGCTGGAAACTTCCTTCAGAGTTATCAATTAAATCACTTTATCGATGGAAATTACCATTAAACATCCATAGTTATTTGACTGCCTAAGCAGCATTTAACTGGCCTGCACAAACAAATTCTGGGCAACTGTACTTTCTGAACTATGGTATTGCCTAATGATTTTTATGTTTAATTTCTCAATGTGTTTGCATTTAGTCTTCTCTGTCCTTGCTGCCCCACCCTCCCGACAGTTCAAATAGGATTGTCTTACAAGGGATGAAGAGTGCTGGGGCACACACCAGTGAGAGGTGACGATCAGTCCTCTGCTGCCGCTATGTGCCCTGTCTCCATCTCCTCTGCACACTGAGCATC